GGGGGGCTATGGCTTGGGAATGAAGGGGGGAAATGTGGGTCTGGAGCACAGGGCACAGGCAGTGCAAAGGGGCCACAGGTTGGGAGTGAGGGGTATCAGCAGGGATGGGGGAGGAGGGGGCTGCAGCATGGTCTGAGGGGTGGGGTACTGTGGGTCAGGAATGAGGGACAGCAGCAGGGTTGGGGGTCTGCGGCTTGGGAGTGAGGGACAGGGGCAGGGCATGGCTGTATCACTGCCCCCCCAGTCATATTTCCTGCCCCCACCCCAACAGGTGTCCTCTTTTTTGAAACTGGAAATATAGTAACCCTAGTTTAGCAGAATTTTAAAAGATTATTAAACACGGGAAAATAAGGAATATAGATCTTATACAGTTAGCTCTACTATAATGTGAGATTCTTCCCTGCTTATAAGTGTGGAATATTCTTTCTCACAGATTACTAACTGATTCTAGTGAAGGTAATGTGCAGATCTTGATTAGCAAAGTACCAAAATCTGCTTGCTCTCTGCAGTGGTATAGAAATGTCTTCCTGACTCTTCATTCAGGTGTCCATTGTTTGCATGTTACAATACTGTGGTATTTCAATTTTCACCACAGCAAAAACATTGTAAAACTATCTATATTTTACATTTTTCTGTATAATTTGAAATTACATTAAGTATTTTTAGGCTTGCTAGTTGTATAGAAAGTTCTTCACAATTATAAATTATAAATCAACATGCTGCTTATCATCCTTTGGGCAAGATAGATTTAAACAGTGTAGCATTTAACAAAAATGTAAAAATATGATGCTGCTTCTAGGAATTGGATGCAGGAGAGCCTTGAATTTAGGTTTGAATCTTCAAAGTTCCAAAAAATCTTTGTTTTGAAGCATTCGGACAGTTGTAGAGAAATTTGGGATTTTTCTACAAAAGGAAATTAACTGGTATAATTATAGCTAGAAAATATTCTCTCTCTCTCTCTCTCTCTCTCTCCCCCCACCCCCCAAAGTAAGTGATTTGATTTGATTTTTATTCTGAAATATAGTGTCTATATGGGAGAGTATTATATCTGCATAGCTGTAATGGAATTATTATTCTGTTACATGAGTCAGTTTCTCAGTACAGACAAACCTAATAAAAACACTCTTAAGTTATGACAGTACTTAATGTGACCTTTAAGGACCTGAAACATTCAATATTGAATCTCTACATTGGATACACTGTAATATCACTATGGTGTATTAGTGACCATTGCTTTGATCAAACCTGATGACTCGGTTACTACCGAACATAAAGTAAACAGGTTTTTTTTTGTTTTTTGGGTTTTTTTAAGGTTGTCTTTGCCATGAAGTTGGCGTGGGTGATCTGCAGAAGTTAGCTTTAGGTATGGGGTATGTCCCACTGCAAAATCAAATCCATGCCAAACATATGTGCCTGCTTCCATAAATGTAGTATTTACCTATGTGAGAAACTAGGGGCATGTGTAGACTAAATGGGGGCCCTAAATTGAAGCAGTGGGTTTCTAAAAACAGTGCTTCAATTTAGGGTGAAGTGTACCCTGTGTTGTGTACACCTGTGTCTTACCTGCCTCTCTGGTGGCTGGGAGGGGAGGGCAAGCTACTGGAAGGTGGAGCGGTCCCTGGGCTGATGTGGGGCTGGTGCTTCCCTCTGAGGCAGTGATGGCACCCACTTGCAGGTACCTGGCTTGGGCAGTCCCGGGGGGCACCAAAGCCGCAGAGGGAAGGACCAGGTCCCCATGAGGCTCATGCAGGCAGGCGTGCTCCAGGGGAGCAGGGGGGGAAAGATCAGACTTGCCAGTTTTTTGTTTTGTTTTGTTTTGTTTTTCTTCAGTGGAGCCTGTCTTCCCAGGCTGTTGCCAGGCTGCCTGCACAGCCCCTGAGCTGCACAGAACCCAGTGCTTTGCTCTGCGGCTGTACAGCAGCAAACTAAAACTCCTCAGAGGTGTTACAGTTTGCTGTGCCCCAAAGTCATTTAAGGCACATTACGCTGCCAAGTGTGCTACAGCGGCTGGAATTAATGCATAATATGCCGCCAAGACATGAAAATACCAACACCATTAAAATGGTGCAAAAGCATTTAAGCTGCTTTAGTGTCATGCACACATGCGCCGTGTTTTGTCTACACACCCCCTAAGACTACTGGGGTATATACCATGGCTTTTTGTAACGTATTCTAGCTTCTCTGATCTATGAATTCTTTCCTCATTTATTGAGGGCAGACTTGTCTGTCCTTACAGAAATGCTTTTGGTTTACAGACTCATTAAAATAAACCACTTCTGGCTAAGTGTTTTGAATGTGAATATTATTTACCTTGTTCAGAAATCCACCTCAGTTCCAGCATTTGACCATCTGGTAGCACAGTGCACAGGGAAGATGATTTTCCCACATGGTGATATGAAGCACAGTAGAAATGTAATAGGCCATGTACCAAACCAGTATTTAAAGTTAGATGGTTTCTAGTGCAGCAGAAGGAAACAGGTAGCAGGGAAGAAAAATAACCCTATGGGAATTTGTGGGCAGGCACTGGAAGATGGTCAGCACAAGCATGGATTATCCTGTGCCCACTGCAAAGTAAGAAAACTACCAGCCTGGGCTGAACCAAATCCAGGTTCATATGGGTACCGGTCTCTGACAGCTACCTAATGTTAATGTTTCCCTTAACCTTATGCTGTCCACACACACAAGCCTCCAACAGATGTGCTGATGACTGAAATAATTTAAGGGCAACATTAGGTGAGATCCCAGTGAAGATATTGTAATTGATAATTTTGTAGTGAAGATATAAACTAAGTGGGTATTACCCTAATCTCCGCTCCTGGCTGACTTCTCTGTCCCCAGTGCTTTTTGTCTGGGCATATCACATCCACTTGCACCCATTGGTATATTTATATGTAAACGCCCATTACTGTATTTGAGCTGTATTGCATGATATGAATTTAGAATTTGTATGTATGAGTGCTGCAGGCTTGTGTGAGAGCTGAAGTCCCAATTTTGTGTTGGATAATTTTATTATAAGGCATTGTTTATATTGAAAAGTAAGTGCACAATTACAATTTTTACAGTACATTTAAGAGTCTCTTTTGTTTTCTTTTTCCAGGCAAAACCAAAGCTAATTGAACCAATAGACTATGAAAATGTCATCGTCCAAAGGAAAACACAAATTATAAATGATGCTCTACGTGAGATGCTGCTTTTCCCTTATGATGACTTTCAGGTAATTATTCAGTTTCCTTTTGATGGAAATTTTTAAATGGTGGTGTAAATGTATATATAAACATGCAGTAGCAAAGGAATGGGAAAAGTATTAAAACAATATTTTTATACTTAAAGATCTTACTATCATTTGAGTTTTCTCAGACATGCCTTTTTCTTTTATTGCTTGCTTCTAGTACATACTGATAACCCCTCCATTCTTTCGGGATGTATTAGGTTACATTTCTACATCTCACTCAGTATTCTCACCATTTGAGACAAATGGTCAGACTAATAGTTCTCATTGCATTTTAAATGTCACCTATGTTTTGGTTTTTTTTCCTGTCAAATTAAGATCTGTTCTTTATACCTAGGAATCAGGAAATTCCTTTAAAAATCATGAATTTTTTTTTAATTGTAATCTTTTTTTAATGCATGTGGTCATACCCTAAGTCGACCTTTCCCCCCACAGCAGTGAAAAATATAACCCTTTCTTAATAGATGAGAGAGAAACATGGACTGTGACTAGATAGTCACATGGACCGTGGTGCTAGAACTGAAGAAAGGTATGACCAGCCTTCTCAACCTCTGGTTATTAGAGACTGGTTTATACGCTGAAGCCTGAAATTTAATCTCTTCCAAGATTTGTTGGCAAGAATTTCTTGACTGTAGATATTCTTGTTATCCCCATAAATCTGAGGTCCCTTCTTGAGTATAGCTAAGCATTTGGTTGCCACAACACTTTAGTAGTGAGTTCAAAAATTTGTATAGATGTTATGTGAAGACAAGTATTTCCTGTGGTTTGTTCTGAATCTGCCACATTTCAGTTTCATTGACTATTACCTTGTTCTTATATTATAAGAGAGGGAGGACAAATTCTTCTATCCTGTTCATTCTTGTATATACTTCTATGATGTCATTTTATGTCTCAAATGAAAAAAAAGATGTTTTTCACATGGTTCTATTTTATCATTTCCCCCTTTTCTTTGAATCTCTTCTAATTTTCCAATGTAAGTTTTGAGACCCAGTGTAAGTCTGTACCATGAAGGGTAAACCCACAGCCACTGCGTGTCACTTGAGGGCTGGAGGCAGGGTTGCAAGTGGAGAGGAGGGGAGATGGGCGAGGCAGAGTCTAGGGATGGAGGGGCATATTGTGACTCACCAGGCCTGTGCTGCTTAGCCTATCCTGTCCCCTGCTCAGTTGCTCCACAGCAGACAGCCCAGCTGGAGGCACTAGCCAGAACAGCGCTGTGCTACCTGGCTGGAACAGGGTGAGAAGGGCAGAGGGGGAGAATGGCTCTGCGCTGCCTGGCTAGAAGAAGGAAGTGAGGTGGGAGGGGGAAGAAAGCAATACACAGTGCCTAGTTGGAGTGGGGGCGTGGCCCATGGGCCCACTAAGGAGGGAAGAACATATCAGTGCAGGATACAAACTGCAGCATATGGGTCTTTGTCTCCCTGGTACTGGTAAGACTGATAATCTTCCTACCCTCTCCCCACTCTTTGGCGCCTGTCAACCCTGCACATGCACCTCACGATGCAGGGGGTGTTTTGCCGAGTACACAAAAATTGTTAATCATGCCTTTGCCCAGGTCCAGCCCAGCCTGGTAGCCTCAATTCAGCAGCAAAGTCAGAGTCTGAAGAACCCAGTGAGAGTGAGGCTGGCTTTTATTATTGTCCCTTGTCCCCAGAAACACATCAGTGCAGCCCTATGTGCCCCAGTACTGTCCCATGCTGAGCCCTCTGTTCCAGTTATGCTTAGACCTGGGGTTCCAACATCACTGCCCCACAAGCTGTTGTCAGCCCCAAACCCCATCATGACACTAGGATCCCATGTGGTGGCACTGTCCTAGAGCCTGCCCTCAGGGACACCTCATCCCACATGGAATCATCTGTTTCCTGAGGGTGCTGCCCAGTTTGGCCCTTATTTGGCCCTACTTGGGGTGACCTTCCTTCCTTTTTCATGTCCTTGTGACGAGGTATTTAGTAGAATTTCCAGATTGCATTGAAATCTGACAGGGCCTTGCCATGATCACTTCTTCTATGGCCTCGAACTTGTGATGTGCTGTAGGCAGCCACTATGTGACATGTGAGCCTCAGGCACTCAGTAGAATGGAGGCAGGGCTGTGCAGTGGAGAGGTATTAGGATGTTTCTACAATAGGTGTCACTGGCAAGAGCCAGGTTAAGACTTCATGGCTGTGAAGCTGCTGGCAAATTAAGGGCTTTGGATCCTCATTTGCCATAAAAAACTGCATTGTTTTCAGGGCCAGGAAAAGGTTAACTTGGCTCTTGATGGTGACAGCTCTCTCAGCAGTGTTGTGCCACTACTTTGCTCTGAGTGTCTGGAGACTCAAGGCCCCCCTGGCACCATTCTGGTGCCCTGGGGCACAGATTCCATCAGGTATGCCTGATGGGGTGGGGATCAGGGTGACACTCAGAGGTGAGGCACACCTGTCAAGGTTGCTCACCACCAGTCTATACCATGTTCTGAGTAAGGTTGACGCTGCTGTCAGAGAAATAAGCCCAACCCACTTATGCTCAGGCTTGCAGACTGGTAAAGTAAAACGCTTGGTGTGTTCCTGAGAGCAGCCACTGCTGCCTGAGCATACGGTTAGGAATGATTTCTTCAATGGTATATCAAAGTGCTGTATAGATTTCCCCGCAGTGACCAGTACTACACGTAGTATTCTAGGTATGGCGAAACTGTCTAAGTATTGGCGTGTTTTCCCTATTCTTAATCTTTTCCTGATTCTTCTCAACACCTTGGGTATTTTATTTAATGGCAACTACACATTGAGTTGAGGTCTACATTGATCTCATCACAAAGATGTCAATCTGTTTTTCCTGAGTGCCTCTTAAGATGATTATGTGTAGCTGGAGTAATTAGGAAGACCTCTGTGTACATTTTAGGCAGTTCTTTATAGTTGGAAATTCTGACCATTGTATAGAAATCTGTTCAAGCCATTTCCGCTTTCAGCATTCAATTTTTATTTTTATCCAAGTGTTTTTCCTCTTGTTTAGATTAGACTGATTACAGTCTAAAAACTACTAAACAGTGTAGGAAGCCAAGCCCTACTAATTACAAAGGCCTTGGACGTAAGGTTAGTTTTTTTTTAAAAGTTATGGCTGGACATTAAGTATCTGCAAAGTATGTCTTTTCATTGGGGTTCTGCCTTTTTGCAGCTTGATGCTGTGAAGATATTAGTACTCTAAGTGGGCAGGACAAAGGTGCATTGTTGAGATTTTGTTAGAAACAAATTTATTGCATTTGTCCTTAACACTTATTTTATGGTGAAAGATGCATTTAATTGGGATGATTAAACAATTTTTTAAGGCAGCGCTTAACTTGAGACATTGATTATTAGGATCATCTGTTTCATTTGATTGGTTAAGCTGTTTATAGTATTTTACAGGTAGAAATTCATTTTGCTAACATTTACTATTACAAAACCTGTAGGTTCAAGCTGCTTTTCTGTTGTTACTGCACCTAACAGAATTTTACCTAAAATACATTTCATTTTGTTTTGAGTTATTTCCTGTTTATATGATCAACATGGCCATTTTTTGTTTTAATATATTTTAAGATGTCGTTCTTTATCAGAACCTTTGCTTAACTGGCTCATTCTATTTCCGCTAGAGTAATTAATAGGATACTTGATATAACCTTGGAAATTTGGTAATACAAAGCAGTTCACTTCAACATCTTGTATTTTGGTTCAGTTTAGTAGTCGGTGAAAGTCTGTTTCTACCATGTTTATTTCCAGTAGCCTGAACTGTGTTTTAATCTTTTTTTGTCCATACTACATTATTCCTGTAATCATAGTAGAGATGTCAAGGATTAAAGGAAGGCTAAGATGAATTTCATTTATAAGGTGAGTTGTTCAAATGCCATTGAGAATCTTGTGCAGCAGCAGGCAATGGTTAGTAGTGCTCTGTTTCAAGTCTGTGGGTGCATCTACACAGGCAATAATGCAACACAATAAACTTGGGAGCAGTTTGCTCTAGAGTCAACTGTTCCCGGCGCAGTGTCTACGTGTGGGCCTGGGACAGCAGCAATTTGAGCCAGGGCAAAGCAGGCCCCTGACTGGCTGGGATGACGGTTCAATTTATGCCTTTGGTCACCATCTACACATATGTTTCAGCATAGTAAAGTACCTTGCCATAAGATAGTACTGTCTCTGACAGTACTGCCCTACAGTGGAGTTAATTAGTTTACTGTAGATGGTGATGCTTTACTGTGGAACTAAGTAATCTACTCTGCAGTAAAGTACACGTGTAAATGCACCCTATGAAAGCTAGCCATTGGAAGGGGCAGAAAGCAAGGCCATAATCCACCTCTTCCATCCTTACATTTCTCCACCTCACTTAGAACTGACTTTATACATGGAAAGATCTCTCTACCATCCAAGAGAGTTCCTAGGGTGAATTTTGTCCAAGTCAAGAATCTTCCTGGGAATGGGTTTGGCACAGATACCTTTTTTTGGTCGTGTGAGAGAGCCATAGACACTATATATTCTTGTGTAGAAACTTTCAGGATCTGGAACTGTCAGTTCAGTGTCCTTCATAACTGCTAAATAAACTTTCTGATTTTCTTGCATTTTCTATTCCCAAACCTTTTATTTTTTTCATTCTTCACTTTCACAATTGAGTATTAAAGATGAAGCATTGCTGCGAATTTTTTTTTGTTTAACCCTCGCTCTTACAAAAGCTGAGTCACTTATGAGCAGGGATCCTGGGTTTCTCCAGTTTTTAAAAAAAATCCCCAATTGTCAGTTAAAAAAAACAAAAACGTAACCCCAAATTTGCATTTGTCTGAGAGGATTTGGGTTTACTCTCTTTAACTGAAAATTAGGGATTTTTTCAAATCGGAGAAAACTAGGATCCCTGCTTATGCGTTAATGCCCACTCTTGGTAAGATCATGAGCACAAGAGTAGTACCCATAGTTTCCTTACTATCAATAATAAAGACTCTCTCTTTGGAGCTAAGACCTCTATTTCATCATTGGAGAACATAATCTGCTGCT